GCGCGACGAACATCGCGCTGGTGTGTCGGAGGCATAAGCGTGCCGTGTAGCAGAGGTCATAGACAGAGAGGTCGGAGACTCAGAGAAAGAAGGTTGCAAACTGTACACACCATGGGTGCATCCAGAAGCACGACCGCTCACTGAGCGCTCGGTGAGCTCTTGCATCTGATTGGCATATTCCATTAGATCGAAAAATATAGATCAAACAGATACGAGAGCTCAATGAGCGGTCGTGCTTCTGGATGCACGCACCTAATGTCATCCCTTCCACCATGGCGCAAACCGAAACGGAATGTGGCAGCACTGGAATTCGTATCACTGCAGACTGCTTCACTGCTCTAGTCTCACCAAATCAGTTTCACCATTCAGTCGCATTCAGTTCTGCGAGGCTCCTACGCATCTAATCACCGTATGTTATTATCGCAATTACGGCGAAGTGACATGTTACTGCGTGTTACCTCGATCACGCTTCGCCTGATGAAGCTTATCTCATTGCGATTTCCTTCATGTAGCATTTAACAACCGCAGGCATCCATGTCAATCGGTCACCTTCCGTGATTAAAATTCAATGTAGCGATAATTCATGTAAACGGTATTGAAGTTTACCCACTGTACAGAGAACGAAACGAGTTTTGGTCGAAACGAATAAAATTTGAGGTGATTTTTCGGAAATTCCGTCGCCTAGAATCGATGTCGAGGACTCATGAATTTCCGCGCTTCGTTGATTTGCTCGCGACGAGGAACATGATGACCCGTCTAGTTTTTTGCGTTGCAGAGTCCCCATCGGGGGTGGATTAACGTAGGAGATTCGGCCGCGTTCTTCCACTAGCGAAATCTCGCACAGGTAAGGGCCTAAGCACAAAAATGACTGTAACTGAATCGTGGAACGTAAGTCGTAGTTGTTGACCAAAACATTGTGTGTTGATCTACAGCTACAACTCATTTACGACCATCTTTGTGCTGAAGTCCTAGCTAACTCGTGTTTTAACGAATGAATGATACGCGCTTGTGAAAGAATCGACCGTTTACAATCGATTATTTAAATCGAGAAGAGGACGGAGAATTTGGAAGAGTGACATTCCTTTTGCAGCATACAGTGACATGACCGATTCCTATTGTGATATGTCGCGCGAGTGTGTAGTTTGATTCAATCGTTAACCATTATCAGAGTAGAAAATCTACCACATGCTTAAAGATGTGTCACATTTAAAAACAATACCAAAAAAGTAAAAATTTCATAAATTATTTTATTTTTACGTCTGAATATATGTGTAAAATTTGAGCACAATTCTCTTATAATTGTTTTAAAAGTTATTTAATTTTTTTGTTTGTTTTGATTTTTATGTATAATTGTAATAAATTTTTTAATATGTAAATTTTTAATGAGGAAGTAATATTAAGAATTTAATCAAATTTTGTTGAAATGTTGATCAAATACAATAATAAATATTTTGTGTAAAAATTTATTTTATAACTTTTTTTATTTACTCGTTAGTCGTTATTGGCTTAAGATTACAGAAAAATATGATCATTTTGCTATTATAAACCAAATTATTTGTTTTGTTTCTTGCAAATGTTTTAAAAACATGTTCATGTCTAATATTAAAATTGTCAAATGATATTGGCTAATATTAGCTTATTTTGGCTGATTGTTTGACTGATTGTTTCAGCTGATATTATTTAACCAACATATTTTTAATCATGAGCATCCAGAGGAGCATCTAAAATGGGGCATTTGTCTCCCCCCTGGGCTTGCTCTCTTCTGGGCAACAGGCGCATGTTGATGAGGGCAGGCTAGTGCTGAACTTGCTATGGTATCTTGTGGTAGTAATAAAAAATTTTAAAAAAAAAGCAATATTTTTTTCGACTTACACCTACCTTGTCGCGGTGGGAAAGTTTTTAACTGAAAGATGTATACTTTTATAATTGTATACATACACCCTGATAGCCAAATGAGTTCAAGGTGTCATGTTACTGTCAGTCGTAGTAGATGTCAACAAACTAGGGACAAGGTGCTTCCTCAGTATGTGTGAAATGTTGTCCTCACGTAAATTCTAAATCTGATAATATAACAAGTTGATAGCATCTTGATGGCATGTAAAATATACGTGCCATCAATTTGCCATTATGTTGCAGGTATGATAGTATATATAAAATGCGAGCTCATCGCGTGCTGTCATTTTGCCATCAATATAACCCATTATTAATTCTCAACGTTTACTATTGAAATTTTATGAACTGGTGATGTCTATTTGCCCCCATGTTGCTAACTCAGTTTGCACATAAGAGTTCTATATCAGCAATTGCCGCAACTTCACAACAACTCGTGCAGTACATTAGTTTGTCTAATGTGCTAAATCACGCTTGGTTATCTGGGTATATTTTAATTCTTGAAGTAATAATAATAATAAACGTGCGTGCGCGCGTGCGATTTGTGAATATAAATATGTAAAAAATGCACTAAAGACATTATTATTATTATTATTATTATTATTATTGGTATTACTATTATATTTTGGATAATGCCCTCCCTCTCCCCTTGAAAAAATCCTGCTGACGCCCGTGTCCTTAATTCTTCATTATTCGCATGGAACATTCAAGACACCTCCATCTTATAAATTCTCTAAATAGTCTAAATATATGGATGCTATTCGTACATATTATATTTAGATAAAATTCGTTTTACAATAAAAAAAGTTTTCTTTATTTTTATTTAAAGGATTTGTAGAATATTATTAATCTGACATAATTTCATAACATTGCACCTTATTGTGGTTCATTGTACGTATTTCGTTAAATTCTTTGTATAACTTTGTATAACTTATTAATTACATCACACTCATTAGATTGATATTTATCAGTTATGAATTTAGCCGCATTGTATACCAAGGAAGGCCTGAAACAGGGCTGAAAATTTATATTATTAATTATTATCTCTTTTGATAAAGTTTGAGAGATGTATTTATTGTTAACAAACTGAATTACACACATGCTACCATCCGGCTCTTATTGGCAATTTTAATTTTTGTTAAATTTATTCTATATTTAGAGTCTATATATCTCTATTATTATTATCAATCTTTATTTAATTGTAAATCATCAAAGAGAATAACGAAAATTGCAATATATGATCTATTCTTTCTAGGCCAGCACTGCCAGTGTCTAAAAATCTGTAATTCATATTACATACACTATAGATTTTTAGTACTGCTAATATATATCCGAGAGAACAATTAAAGTTCGTATTTATTTAAATTCATTTTTTTTCCAATATGAAGAGATAAGAAGGAAAAATGAATTATGGAAAAAGTTTTGCTAAAAAAATAGCCCTATAATATTGGAGCGTCACCTCACGCGAGTAACTACGTTAAAAAAAAAAAAAAACACGGTAATGTGAAATTAAATGCTTTCTCCGTGATATTTCTAACAAAGATTTTGATAGGAGAAATAAATCCAACGTTTAAATGTATCTAATCTGCTACTTTAGTAATTTGGCTTCTTTAAATTGCAGATGGCAGCGAGTGCACTCGAGGAGAAGATTAACAAGATAAGGCAACAAAATGAAGAAATTAGGAGGAGGCACGAGGTAAGAATTGAGCGATTCGAAGAATAACTGTTTTATATAGAAAATAATGAACTTTGTTGTGTAGGAAGTGGAGGAGGATAAGAAAAAGGCAGCTAAATTGAATGCGCTGGTGCAAATGGTACCATCTACAGATTGGCCGGAGAGGAAGGAGCCACCAGAATTTTCTAATCCACCTAGAACAAATAATAAATTAAAATCTGTCAAAGAACACCATGAACATCCTCAGTCAACAAGTGGTGAAGGACGAAAAATTCATACCTTTGCTCAGGTGCACAAAAATTATATTAAGAGAAATAAGATCTTGATTCGATAATATTTTAATTTAACAAAAATAAGCGAAGAAGGTCATATTTGCTCAAAGCAGATGTTGATGTTTAATAATATTTTTGTGTGAATCGATTCCAGTTCAACAAATGATAATGGCATAAAATATAGGAAGATCTAGGTTTGAATTTTGGCTGGGATTTTTTTTGCAATAAATTCTTTGTGGCGTGTTAAAATGCATTAGTATCAGTATTATTAAATTGCTTATTAATTTAACTTTTGATATTACATATTCTAGCTTCAGTTTAGGATTGTATTTCAAAACTGGCAATTATCAAATCGGCACGTAGTTTACTTGAACTGGATGTAAGATTTATGCAAAAATATTATTAAGCATCAAAATTTGCTTTGATCGAATATTGTTCGTTTACTTATGTTGAACATTTATCGATTGATGGTCACTTATTATTTTAATTTAATTTAATGAGATTTTTCTTGTTTAAAAGCTTAAATTTTTTTAAACTTTGATATTGAATATATTGAAATTCTCATCAATGTTTTAAATTTTAGGGACAAGGGCCTCCACCTGATCCTAAATATAACTTTCTTGCTGATGCTGAGAGAGAGGAAGGTGACAGAGAGAGTACAATGGACAACTCAAATAAAGGGCAGAAATATTCAAGAGGCATATTTAAGAAGAAACCAGGAGGAAAAGATGCAACGCAAAGAGTACATAAAACTTAAAACGAAATATCCTAAATATGCCTAGATACACTTTTGTTTTTTAAATGAGCTACTTCTTGAAAAGGATTGCAGAACGAATAGAGGATCACACAGGGATGAGCATCAGCCAGAATACGAAGCTTGGAGAGCTGAGAGAAATCGTATCGATGAGGATCGCATTAACAGACAGAGAACTGCGGAAGGTAATTGGCGTAGAGAATGGGATAATAACAAGGTGAGAACTTCGTAAAAGAGGAAATGCGTTGCCATATGATTGGTATAGATACGATAGATCACATAAATGCAATTGCAGGCGCACATTGTGGATGAAATGGCGAGAACTGAAACTAAATTAGGGGATAATATAAAAAAGGACTTCAAAGATTTTGATAAAAGATATCATGTTAATGGTGAGAACCATGGTGGAAAGATTACATGGTGTGCTCAGTTTAATCAAACCACGCCTACTTTTGCTCCGAGTCGTCTCTCAGTGCGCTGTCTACCAACTGTGAATCGCGAAACATGGGACGGTATTCATAGTCCGTTTTTATTTTAAACCATCTTAAATATAATGTCTTAAGATGTTTATTAATATCTTAAGACATTATATTTAAGATGTTTATTAACATCTTAAGACATTATATTTAAGATGGTTTAAAATAAAAACGGACTATGAATACCGTCCCATGTTTCGCGTTTCACAGTTATAGGCCTTGTGGAACGAGAAGCAGAGAAACGACAAAGAGCGCTAATTTTAGAGAGAGCTTGCAATCTGAGCACACCATGTAATCCTTCCACATGGTGAGAACTAATAGATCTTATATATAAATCTTATATATAAATACGAATTTTTTAAATCAAGGGAATTTCAAATTATGTTTTCATCATTGTATATATGTGTATATAATTGCTTATTCTATAGGAAACGATCATGTAAGCCATAATCGCGGTAGTCATCGTTCCTATCGGGGAAATTCGAGACATTTTCATAATAATTATGAAAATAGTTCTAACAGCATGCATCATCAAGTTGGGCATATTAAAAATCCTTCTGGTTCCGAAAAGAGAACTGTTGTTGCTACCGACAAAAATATAAAAATTACGTTAAATCAAGGAAATATGGCAAAAGGTCCAGTCATGAGTGTCAAAGGTATATTACAAACTACAGTGATATGTTCCTGAATATAAAAAGTATTTGAAATACTTTTTTACTATTATCATTAATAATTTCAGTAAATTCACCAAGTATTGCTGGAACAGGACGAGTCGGGCCGCGACAAAGAAGTCGCCTAACATACAGCAGTCATTCGGACGTTGAAATAACTTCCCCTGATACTGAATCCTTTTCACGTCCAAAGTCGTATGAAGATAGACCTAAAGGTATCTATTATGAAAATCTGCACAAATTCTCGAATTCTCGGAAGTCACAACTTTCACCAAAGAAAAAAGACTTCAGTAATAAATCTCCTTACTTTCGTAAGAAGGAAATTAGAAGAGAAGATGAGAGCCTTCAGCAATATCATGAAATAGAATCACCTCAGAAAGACCATAAAGAATTACAAAAGTTTTGTCAATCTAAATTTCAAAAGCATGAGGAAAACACTGCAGAGCCATTACAAGATATAACAACAGTAGATGAAAAAGAAAGCAATACAATTTTTTCTAGAGAATCTGATACGAATAATAGAGAAATAAACAATATAGATAATCAGATTTACGGTAATTTAAACTCACACATAAACGAAGGACGTGAAATTTATACAAACAAGGAAGATGAGGCTGATTTGCAAAACTTAGATTTACCTGCGATTGAGATTGATACAGAGATTGAAACATGTGAAAAAAATGGAAAAAGGGAAGATAAATTGGATGAGATGCAAAATGTTCAAGTAGTTGTGACATTCGAGTGTGAAAATACTAAAACAAAGTTAACTATATCGTCACTAGAAAATAATAATGATGAAAATGAGACTCAATATGTGGAAAACTCGTCATGTGATGTTAATAATACTAAGAAACCTATAATGAAAGATAAAGATTCAGAACGAACTAAAGAAATCTTAAAAGATAACTGTGATACTAAACAAATTAAAGATATGAGTGAGCAAGAAAACGGCATCAAACACGATGCAGAAAGCTTTCTAGAAGAAAAAGAAGTAAACAGTATTACCATTTTATCTTCAACTGATATAAATTATACAGAAAAACAGAGTGATAAATTAAAAAGTGACGACAAAATCTCAAAAGGAAAAGTAATTTTGGTCATAGAAGATAAAGTTGCCACAGATGAAAAAATTAACATTAGTTATAAACAGGATACAACAAAATGTATTAATGAAACTCAAGAATGCACAGGTAATAAAGAGAAAGAGAATAATGTTGCAAATAGCATTGTAGTTGATAAGATAGAATCTTTAAAAGAAAATTTACACATAGAAGAAAAGGCAACTTCAAATGACCAAAACTGAAAGATAATAAAGAGAAATATGAAATAAAAAAGTACGAAATGTTATAATATAACTGTAAGTTACCGAAAATGTGTGATAGGAGATAAAGCTTTTATAAATACTTGTTGAAAGCATGACATATATATATATATATATATATTTCAAAAGTTAATTTTTATGGCAATATGTGAGTTGAAAAAAATGGAGTTATTAGAATAGTTCCCAACAAGTTTTTATTTTTGGAACAAGTATTCGAGAATGGATATTGCTGCAAATTTTCGTCAAATGATGGTACATCGTAATTCTATTTTTTGTTCTATAATTTTACCACACACACACAAAGTGATTCAAAATACTGTAACAAGAAAGTTTTCGGAAAATTAAGTAAAAAAATTATTTGTAAATGTACAGAGGATTAAAGATCGACAAGCCAACTCATTTACATCTTATTTGTGGTGCAGCTACATACCTGCTCTTTATCAGACTCTACAATATATTCAAAGATACCAGAAGGTTTGCGAGTTATCGACGTGTTTTTATCCATTGCTAATGCCTTATAATTACATGGCGATAATCCGCAAACCTGGTATCTTCAAAGATAATATCAGTGAAAGCCTAAAAAGCATTATCTACCATATATTGTCTCTTAGAAGAAATATTTTGAAATTTGTTTTGGCTTATATTTTACGAAACTACGAAGTCTATTAAAGAATCAAAGGACCCCGCACAAAATTATTGGATTTTGACCCCGGTAAAATTTGCTAAAACTTTAGTATGTTGTAGTTCTTGATCGACTAATCAAAAGTGTTCATAGGTACAAAGCTTGAAAATGACTAGTTTTTTTTGTTATAGCCGTTTAAAGTTTTATTTTATTAATGTCTCAAAATCAGGTTTCTGTAATAAATCAACAGATTTTAGATAACAGTATGTGAACCATTTTCACCATTTTCAACCTTACTCCCCCCCCACGCTAAGAAAAATAATTAAACAAATAGGGCCCAAATTTAATTCCGAGGATTTTGTTACACTAAAGATGACCTAATCTTATAGTCGAAACGTCTGTAATTGGTGATTGATATATATATTATTTTTGGTTACACATGTACAATTGTGTCGACTCTCATTGGCTTTATATTCCTTTATTGATTTAATCTTTGGAGTCTTTTTTAATTTTAATTGTCATCTTAAGATGTCATAATTCGTATTAGCATCTTAAAATTTTATTTAAAATAGTCTTGAAATAAAAACGGACCATGAATATCGATTTATGAATCCAGTCGTAAGAAACATTCGACAAACGAGTTATCATAGTTCTATTATATCATTTTGTCTTTGTTTTACGTTTAATAAACGGTAAGCAAATGGAGTACTGATGGTCAGTGTGTTGGCCATCATTAAAACCTTGGCATATATGTAAGAAAAACTTGAGCAATAAGGAAATCAACATGTTGGATTCGCTACTGTCTACGTTAGTCTAAGGTTGTGTTTCAAAATTTACTGCCAGTACTAAAAATCTGTAGTTTACGTCACGTGCACTATAGATTTTCAATATTGTCAGTAAATTTATTTTATTTTTTTTTAAAGAAGTTTTTTTTAATTAAAATTAAATTAAAATTTTTTTAAATATATAATTTAAATTAAAAAAAAATTTTTTATATTTTTTTGCTACAAATGTTTCGAATCATTTTTTGATTAGTCAATTAGTGAAATTTTTTCTTCTGATTGGTCAGTCAAATGCTTCCGAAGCATTTGTAGCGCCAAATGGACCGCACCCTATGTCGCTTACCGTTAACGATTTGTAATTTTACCAAAGGTGACCACTGATGTAGACATATTACCATCACAAGAGATCGACGCATAATGTGATCGATACGCCCATGGTATAAATACAAAAGCATGTTAAAAACATGTTAACCTGTCAAAAACTGAGTTGAAAAGTCCTACCATTTTGCAATTTCCACAATTTTTTTTTTGGTTGCCCAATGAGCAAAATATCTAAAATCAACGTTCTTTCTTAAAGAATTCTTAAAGATATCTTAAAATTGGCTTATATATATATGTTGAGTTTAGATATTTTGCTATTGAGTTGAATCTCAATGGAACATGTTTGACAGCTATGATGAGACGTTGCAAGGACTGTGCTATCTGTACAGACATTTCCGATGATCACATCTATCAGAAGACCGACGAAGAATTAAATATTCTCCGTTAGTATCCTAGCCTGATTCCTTGGCTTACAGATCTTCTCGAATGTCGTCTTTCGTCCTTGCGACATAGCCCAGCCAATAGACGAGTCTGTCGGAGAGTGGGTTTAGTCTGTAGCGTATCGCTATGAAAACCTTTCGTGCATTTTCACGGTAATGCATTCATTATAGACTTTAATACCTGAGGTAATTATTTAGAATACCATACCTCACCTAAAATCTTAATAAAAATACACTCGTTCGACGCGTTTTCACTCAAAATGAAAGAATCTGGCAAAAAATGTAGCGGTCTGCCTCGTAAACCGAGATATTAAGGGGATCCTAAAGACGTCTGTATTACCGACTAAACACGTATAATTTTTGTATAACGAATACTCTTTTTCTCTTTCACGGATTCGAAAATCCATTTCCAGGATTAAAGTATACGCATTAATACGTGTTTGTGAAGTGAAGTCTACGCTGAGAATGATCAAAAATTTCAAAATCGATATATTTTTTACTATTGTTTAGTGTAACATGGCGCTTTTGCAGTCACGTCGTGATGGCAGGCTATGTTCGATTTTTGCTGTTTTTGTTGTTACTATTTGATATGATAAGTTGTGATAGCCTTGCCGCGTTTTCGCTGTCACATTGTAATATTGATTATGCTTGATTTCTACTATCTTTCTGCTGTCAATATTTGACGCTGCGCTTGGCTTAGCGCCGAGACACTACCAGTGTCTCCAGATATGGCAAACTCTATTCGATATTTGCTACATATTTGCTGCCACAATGTTGTAGCGTATAATGTTCGATCTTTGTGGCATTGCTATCGTCGTTTTATGTTGATAAATTGTGCTGGAGTGCCCTGTTTTACCAATGAAGTATGATTAATTTTCCTCAACTCGTTTCTTTTAATTGCACTTACCGATTGAAAAGTCCTTCTTTACAATTAAAGTATTGACAACGACACTGACTGCCAGCTACAATTTAATACGAAAAATGAAAGAAAATTAAAAATTGTACTTTTGTTACCGGCTCCTGCAGTCAACTCGTCACAATATATGCTGCATATAAAAGTTTCAGATTTTACCCGTTTAAAATAAGTAGCCAGCAGCCTACAGAAAACCTTGAAGAACAATACTATGCCTGTAGAAATGAGCTAGGAGCTTTAGTATAAGTAAAGCACTAGAAACGTAGGTATTCGCGTCCACCATTTTTATTCCTTTTCCCACTCATTGCTCTATTCCCATTCCATCACTGAACTGTGACGGGTCATTACAGGTTATGATTTTTATTTGCTGCTTGAAATTTTTGTAGCTCCTTTCATTCTTACAAGGTTTCCAACAGCTTAGGAGCTATAACTTATAACAACCTTAAGGACGATAACCTTCTCAATTCAGCGGCAGAGAGGGAACAAAGCAAGGAGTGGAGAAAGGAGTAAAAATGGCGAATAGGCGAATACTCACGTTTATAGTGCCTTAGTACAAGAGAAAAGAGTCACCAAAAATTTCGTTCGTATGCTACGAATAAAATTGACGTGAAACCATGAAACCCATGGTGGAAATATATAAGGTGAAGCACAATCTGATGGATGCGCAGTAGAGGAAAGTGCATATTCGGACATATTTGATTGGCTATTCCAGTATAACCTGCGCTATTATACGTAGGAAAGTGCATATTCGGACATATTTGATTGGTTATTTCCAGTATTGCTACCGCTATTATGCGTAATGTTTCACCTTATATATTTCCACCATGATGAAACCGAGCAGTATTTTAGTTGATCTCTTTCTAAGAGATGGCGTTGCAATATGTTAGATAAGGACAGATGAATGCATTTAAGCGAGATACAACGATATATAATAAGTATAAGAGTTGAATGAAAGATGTCACTATCGAATTTGGAATTTAAAAAAATCTGTACTATCGACTTCGATCAAGTTTGGTCGTCGATCCAGCATCCCCTTAATCAGGAAGTAGCAGATGAAATTCTGCTGCAACGCGTTATGATTGAGTTAGTTTGCTGGCATACTGCTAGCGCACTGCTATCTGGGTACATATACGTATACAATATGTATTAATTAACGAAATATTTATTTAACTTATCCCTCATTTTTCCTCCTTACACAAATATATGAATAAGCAAGAAAAATTTATTAATTTCGTATCAAAAACGAATTCTTGTGGATAATTATTCTAATAAAGAAACGTGTTTATATCATATTGCGAGTGAAGTACAAATAAAGAATACATCCGTAAAATTTTGTCAATATATTATCATCCCTTGTACTCATACGGATAATGTATTTTTATATTTTTCATAATACGGAGGCCGCTTTACATCATTTTTATAACGTTTATAGATATATTCTGTCTACACAACATCAAAGAGATTTACTCTCCTTAAAACGCCGCAAAGTATGAATATTTCTGCAAAAGCGCTTTAGAAGCCTTGTTCGTCTCCGTCCGTATTAATTTTCGAGGTGTCTCATCATTATAACTTCAATAATTTAAGTTGAAACAACCATCTCTCTAAATTCACTCGACGGATTTTACGTGGCATTCTATTTTTCTTTGAAGTCTGATTAGAGAGAGACCGTTCTAGAAGACATTGTTGGAAGACTTGTTTGACGATATATCAAAAAGCGAAATTAAAATTTACAAGGCGAGTCATTTACAATGACTCACAATCATCGTCCGATAATCACAAAGAGAAGATCCCAACACAATTCTCACTCAATCATCTTTGATAATTATTATTGATACAAAGAAGTAAGATGATCCTTCGTTAACAATCTAAATTGATTTCATGAACAGCATGATTTTACTTACATTTTGTGTCATTGATATATTCATCGATATGAAACATCAATTATGCATGATCATAGCTTGTAAGTTAACTCTTAACATCTATAGTTCTCCAATATAACGCTTAATATTATTCGACAAAGATCTTTGCTCAATAAAGTAGTAATACATTGTTATCATAGTGCGTGATACTGTTATTAGTTTTATTAATATTAGCGTTCTGGAAGACATATTATTGGAAGACTCGTTTCGCGATTATTAATGCGTTTTAATTAGTCTGAGAATTTTTCATGTCTGCAGAATGCTCGCGATATGACTTCAAGAAAAAAAAGCGAAACGATTAACGCGATCGAAAGCATCCCTCAAGTATTTTATAAAGAATACTTTTTTATAGAAGATTTTTACTATTTTTTTACGAAAGGTTTTATAAAATCCAAAAGCTTGTAAATCCAAATACATAATCAATAATTCCATAAGTTTGTAATCTATGAATCTAAAAAATTTAGAAAAATTTCGAAATTGATATATAAAAAGAATTTTAGAAAAGATGTAGACTTTCTCCAGGTATTTCCGAAAAGTGTTTCAATTTGTATAAAAAAGAAATATTCTAAAAAGTTATAAAATTATGTAAAATTTTTGAAAAATTATTAAATTTATATATAGAAATTCTGAAAAATTATAAGAAAAACTTTCACTAAAGATATCACTAAACGTGATCATTTCAAGAAAATCTATGCGTACTCCAAAAGCTCAAAAGTGTACAAAAGACCCCGCACTAATAACGCAAAATAATGAAAAAAGTGATTTCAGTCGAATAATAAACTGCGATATTTTGTGGATTATGCGATG